TTCTTTAATTAGTGGAGTAAGAGTTACTTTTATAAAATGTATTTTATTATTAATAATTATGTTTAGCTTATCTTATAAGAGGGAGAAGGTGTGTTTAATAATAATAATAATAATAATAATAATAATAATATTATTATTATTATTATTATTATTATTTATGAGAAGGGAAGGAATGGCGTCTCAGTCTTTTGATTATTATTATTATTACTATTATTATTATTATAATTATTATTTATTTTATCAAAAGAAGTTATCAAAAGTTATTAGTTTTTTATTTACTCATTTCACGCTCTCACTTCTTATTCCTTATTACGATCTCTTTGCTCTGTGCTTTGAAGAACAAGAATAACTAGAAGAGGAACAACCAAAGTCTACTTGTACTTCGTCTTCCAATTATCAAGGTAAGGGGGGAGTGACAAACCTCACTCAGGGGTGTGAGAATAACTGTTAGGTAGCAGGATTGACCCCCAATCCCTTGCCTAATAGGAATAGGCACTTTATAAAAGTTTTCTATTTTACTTTTTAATTGTTTTGTTGCATCCCTTGTGTGATTCTGAGTGTGAATGTGTTCAATTTCAAGAATAAATAAGTTTTGATATGGATTAGAGTGTTCTATAGGTTCCTATGGGAAACCCTATGAGAAACAAGCAAATTTTGAATATTTACTATTTTGGCTTCTAAGTTTTTGGTTGTATTTCTTGATGATTACTAAGCATGAATGTATGTTTAATTTTGAGTTTGGATATGTTTTAATATGGATTAGAGTGCTCTATGGGTTCCTACGGGAAACCCTATGAGAAACAGGTAAATTTTGAATGTTTTCTGTTTTGGCTTTTGAGTTTTCTGTTGTGTTCCTTGGTGTTTGTTGAGTTTAAATGTGTTTAATTTTGAAAATAGAAAAGTATTGCTATGAATTAGAGTGCTCTTATTACATGTGACTTTTTCTGCAAATTTTTCATAAAAATTCGCAAGAAACGTTGTTTCTACAATTTTTTTGTGGAATTTTATCTATAGGTAATACCTTCGTGGATAATATGTTTTTGAGAATTTTAAAATTCGCAAGAAATTTTCCTGGGAAAAAAATTCGTTGGAAAATTTCCTGCAAAAAGAAATTCGTAGGAAAGTTTCCTACGAATTTTTTCACAAGAAATTTTGTAGGAATATTTTATACAAAAAAAATTAAAGAAATTACTCAACTTTTAAATGCTCACAATAAATTCATGCAAAACATTTGTTTCCACGCCTCCAACATGTGATACATAATCTCTTATATACTAAGATTGTAGATTATAAGTTTAACACTCAACCATACAAATTAACTTATAAGGTAAGTGTTGCCCCAACTTATATACTCTTTGATTGTTTTATTTTGAATCGATGTGGGACGTGAAGTTTTTTTAAAATATTAAACTTATAAAATGAAATATTTTTTTAAATTTTCCTGCGGATTAAAATTGGCAAGAAAATCCGTAGAAAAAGTTACATGCAAAATTTTTCTATCATTTAGTAAACATTACTTCCGAATTTATTTTTGCAAGAAAATCTGCAAGAAACAAATTAAAATTCTTATAATATTTTCTACAAATTTTTACCATGGAAATTTTTTTTATGATCATTAAAATTGTAGCAAAATTTGTAAAAATTTCTTGTAGATTATTTTCATAAAAAATTTGTAACAAATATTTGTAAATTATTTTTCGCAAATAAATTCATAAATTTTTTTGTGAAATTATTATTGTAAGAAAATTCACAAAAGAATTTTACGAATATTTTTTTGCAGGAAAATTCGCAAGGAAATGACACTTGTATAAAGTGAAATTAGGGATATGATCTTTGGATAAATTTTGAGGCATTATATATAAAATTGATGATGGATTCGTCTTTTGGGTAACATTTGGAGTGTTTTAACCTACTGAAATATTATATTACCTGGCAAGTTGTAAAAAATGCGTGAAATCATGAAGTTGGGTTTATGACCTTTATGTTTTGTATGTTATGAATTGTGAATTGAATGTGTATGATGTTGAATAAATTTTTGTTATGGTGTATGTGTTATTCTGATGTATATGCCTATGAGAAGTTCTTATATAAGACTATGTGAATATGATGAGACAATGTGAAAAGTGAATATGAGACATGAGGCATGATGATATGTGACAATGAGACATGAGGCATGATGATATGTGACAATGAGACATGATATATGAGAAACTATGACAAGTGAAATGATGAGTCAATGAAGTGTAAGTGTGTGACATGCATCATGTGCATCTATGTGATGGGTATGATGTGGAGTACACCGTTAGGGAAGGCCCTCCTTGTGTAACATCTTGGGGGGGTCCTAGGGGATAGTGTGGTTTCGATATCTCGATTCCGCCCGTTTGTGAGCACGAGATGTAACTTGCGCAGCTTTGCTATCCTAACTAGACCCTAGCGGTACATCCTTCTAGTTGAGAGTGTATGGGTAGCTCCCTACAGGTACTCCTAGACTACCTTAGGTGTGTTGTTTAGGCAGCATAGCAGTGATATGTGATATGTGACTGATGCCACATGCATGTATTTATGAGTCGAGTCCATGACATCATTGCATGATAAATGATTGTGTATGTGTTACTGTACGTTATATGTATAACTTGAATTTGCACCTAATTAATGTGTAGCTATGGTTGTGCTTGTTATAATTTGTGTGTGTGTTGCCTGACTATTATTTTTATACCTAAACCTGAGTAAGATGTTTCTCACTTCTCTATTGCTCTTTGTATGTGTCTAAATTGTGTTGCAAGTGATCATCAACATGATGAGGTTAATGATAAGGCTTAAGCTTCAATTGGGTTTGCTTTGATAGGATATGTGATATTGGGGCATAGCTAAGCTTAGTTTAGAATTTCATTATTGTTATTTTGTTTTGGAAAAACTCATGTTTCATTTTCTTGTAAATTTCGCATTTAACCATGATTTAAGTTTACGAATGTGAATTCTCTACTCTTATGTTAGTGAAATGTCACCCTCCAACAACCGGGGCATGGGTGAATCGATTGGGACTCTAGACACACATCTAAAGATATAAAAACTCCTTAAAAATAATCCACAGTCACTACTTTGCACTTCGTTGATGCTCCACTCACTAGAAGGCAAGAAAATACCATTAATTTTGCTTCTTTTCCTTTGAATAATGGCTTGTATATGAAAAAAATGAGTGTTCTTATTACCTAACCTAATCTAGTCCTCCCAGGATTTTTGAAACCACAACATCTCTTCTTAAAATAAGGTTAGTTCATATTCACGAAGAAGTTGATGATATAGATGAACAAGTCACAACGAGTGCACCCTCTCTAAAGAACGCTTGATACCATGTATCCACCCATCAAGTTTTCTTTTACGTTTATGAATATAACCAAAGACTTCTAATTAAAGTTTAGAAGTCCTTACAAACAAAGTTCAAAGCCTTCACAAATTCACCTCAACCTTCCCATGCAAGTTGAACAATATATTCATAATCCTCATGAACGCACAATGCCGCTTCAAGTCAGAAAGGGCACTCAACCTTCAGACGAGGAACCCATCATAATGGAACAACAAAGGGTTATTATTGAGTGTCTTCTAGGAAGAATTTCCACAACGGCTTTAGAAAAATCTCATTCTCTAGCTAATATCTCCCAGAGCTTTGTCAAGTTGCTTATGAATAGGACAACAATTGCTAGTCATCCTCTGCTAGGTATAACAACCCCCAACCTAATCCAAAGTGACAAGGCCACAATTATCCACCAGCTACCCAAATAGAAATGCATAGTTGTGATGAAAATCATCACCCCATTGCTCAAAGGGTAGAAAAGCATTATAAAAATCCCCAAGAAAAACACACGGCTATTGAAAAGTGCTACAAAGGGATTGTAAGTGAGCCTAAAGCTTGTAATGTTTACATAGGATGGGATTGGCATACACTCCTAAACAAATCCATGTTTGGTTACCCTTGGAAACATCAAGAGAAATGACCTGATTCATGGAATCAAGAAATTGAAACTAAAAGGAAAGATACTATTTTTCAAGGCCCATATACCTCCAGCATGGCCACAAGCTTCCTAAATTTCAACTACCAAAAAACCTATACTCTCCCAAAATTTTCTCGTCCTTGAGAATTGCGTGTAAACTTCAAAGATGAATACAAGATCCAGAGTGTATCACTGAATGGTATCTTGAAAATGAGAGATATTTCTCTTACCAATTGCACCTTGAAGATTCCAAGTTAGAACTTTATAGTCAAAAGAGTTGCATCATGATAAAAGAGGTAAAAAGAAAAAGAAGAAGAAACCAATAATTGATTAACCTAGATGCCCTATCAAAAGCTCATTAGGTCTCCTTTCCACCATAATATCCTCCTTCTCATCATTTGTACATTCCATATATCTATTCCACGACTCATGCGACATAATAAATGGAATAGGAAGATCCTTCTCTTCAATATTCAAGGGATTTGGTTCATCAAAATACCAGAGTCGAGGACCCCTTAATGCTTATATCATAAATATTGTTCAAACACCTCATTGAGAACAATCATAATGGTTAATAAGTGGTGCTACTTGAAATGAGACCTTGGCTAAGAATGATGGTCGAATAAAGAGGAAGAGACTATGCGACCCCATGAAAAATGGGTCCCACCAACAAAATGTTCTTATTTTTATCCTTTTGAGATTCTCGCATAACTACAACAACATCATGTGGTGCACTAGCAGATGCATGAAGTGACCTTTTCAAACTTCAATCCTTTACCCTTCCCAAGAGACCCTTCTTCCCAAAAGATATGGAAGGTTTGACTTTCGTTTCTTCCTCATAACTGTTTCCACATTAGCAAGGTTGTTTCCACCCTCTATATCTCCTAAGATTGCACACTCCAACACATTAAATTCGTTTGTGATGCTGTATATCCCTTTCAACTGCTTTCGTATCACATTTAAAATGGGACAATTTCAAATTTCAAATCTTCGCACCTCGTTTAGGTTTTTGAACAACTAACCAATCCCTATGCACAATATCCACCCCTTGATTCACGCTAGACAATAGTGGGGATAGGTTTGGATTTTGAAAACCCTTATCCCTATCCATTGTCCCCGAACTACTACAAAATTACTGTTTTACATCATTACATCTACATCGGTTCCTCTACAAACAATGTAAATAAGAAACGCGGCAGCAGTTTTGTAAATAAATTGAAGATGTAAACCATTCTACATCGGGTCTATTTCTGACTGATGTAAAAATTGAATGACAATATTATTCTACATCGGGTTTTGCATTTAACCGATGTAAAACTGAAGCCAAATTTTCGCGGCCCCTTCACCCTTTCAACACAACACTCTACTGTTGCCAATCTATTTCACTCAGCAGCAACAACACTCAAAACCCTAGAGAAGAGCGTGCAAGTTCCGGCTACCCACCCACCATGGTTGGAAAAGATCTCTTGTTGTTCTCCAATTCCTTTATTTCCTAACCTTTTTCTTCCTCTTCTCACCGTTCCATCTTCTTCTTTGCAGACATTCAAGCGCAGGAATGGAGGCCGCAACAAACACGATCACGGCCACATCAAATTCATTCGATGCTCCAACTCACAAGATTGAACCCTCTCGACACACATCGCCCTCTCCAACCTCTCCCTCCCCTCCGACTACGCCGTCGCCGTGGTCCTCTCGCGCCTTGCCCACGACCTCTCTGCCAAAACCCGGAGTTCATTAAGATCCCGGTGGGGCGGTGCCGCCTCCTGGAAGCCACACCCAGGCCTTCGAGGAACTCACCTCCCTCCCCAACATGTGCGGTGCCATCGACACCACCCCCACTCCAGCCCTAACCCCAACACCTACTGCCACCGACGACGCCACCCACTTTCGCATAATAGGCAAATGGGTACCATTATGTGTTTAATGCTTCCAGCAGCATTCTTTCTAGTCTTGGGTCTAAGTTTATATTTCTTGATGGTACATGATTATAGCTATCAAGCAAGAATTACAGTTAATGGCAAAATTGGTACTTCATGAAAAAAAAAGGGATCTTGGTTTCTTCTGAGTTTAATATTATTAGTTAACACAATCCAATTTTTCTTGATACCATTGTTTTGCTCTTATTATGATATTACATAATTTTCATTAGATTAATACGGTTAAATTTATCCTTATCATTCCAGGAATCTGTTAGATTAACTTCTTATAAATCATTGCAGCAAAGTATGATGTTGCAATATCAACAGCATGTCGTGGACTTGATTATATTGTGGTGGAAACAACAAATGCAACTCAAGCATGTGTTGAGTTACTTCGTAGAGAGAATCTTGGGTTGCTACTTTCATGATATTGGTATTTTTTTATATTATTCAATTTATTTTTGTCTCTTAATGGCTATTTAATATAATTAATGGCACAAATTAAATTTGTTTACTTTTACTTATGTACCCTTGGATTTATATAATCATGACTGAGTTTATGATCTAGCATATATCTGCTAATTTAAGGGCATGTTTGGTACTGGGAATTTTTCTGTTACTATTTTTTTGACTAAATAATTTCATCATTTCTTGTTTTTAAAGATTTATACAGGAAATGGCAAAATCATTCCTTAACTTCCTACTAACAGCTTGAGTTTTTGCCACAGCTGGTCAACGGTTTTGAACTACTTGAAGTTAAGAACGTGGTGTTAATAGCAATTTTATGTTGGTTTGGAGGTGGTCTACTCTTGGGTAGCATCCTTTTAAATCAAAGTTGGGGAGTGAAAGCAAGCTAGATTCTGTCAAGTTTCAGTTTATAAAATAATGCCCTTGATTGAATACAATTTGTTTGTCAATGATTGATGATATGTTCAGTTATGTAATGTTTTTTATGTGCTGATAGTACGCAACCCAGGTGTTTATTTGATAAATATAATTTGGACATCATTTCTTTATTCAGGAGAAGCAAGTTGACCTTCTTCCAATGTTGAGAAAGAAAGTAAACATCTACATCGGTTGTTGGTATAACCGATGTAGAATAGTGGTAAAATCTACATCGGTTTTACTTACAACTGATGTAGATTTGTACGCAAATCTACATCAATTTTTCTGACAACCGATGTAGAAGTGTTTGTTTTTCTAAGTCGCTCTATTCTACATCGGTTTTATAACCGATGTAGATTACCTTCCAGAATCGATGTAGATAATACATCCTGTAGTAGTGCCGTCACCACATATTGGTTGGTCACTATCTCCATTATGAGATTACTCGACTCTACGTGTTGACTCGCTAGCCCCCTAAGAGGAGGTTTGGAACTCAGACAAGGTCTAGCCATATGTCCATATGTTCCACAAGTCATACACAACCATTGTAGACCTTCATATTCAATCTTAAACCAATGGTCTCAAAACCAAATCCTACCAACAATTGGTTCATTCAGAGATATATACATCTTAACATAGACTCTAGCAAGTCGACCATGTGAAATGGAGAGGGTCATTAGATCCACCTTCATCGGTGTCGTAAAAACAAATCACGACGGTAATGACGCAAAAAATATATTTGATGAAGTCGCCACCAATATTTTATTTTAAGGGAAAAATATTGGAAAATATTCTTAAAAATAATCTTTAAAATCAAAATTGAGTTCAGAAGTCGATTATGTGTAAGGAAGGTAATAGCACCATACGACGCTTGTAAAAAAAGCAATACCTTTAATTAATTGTGCAAAGTTACATAAATTTATAAATATTTAATTGACCCCTAAAAATATATTTTGTCATTGTTTTATATATAACCTTTATTCATGAAGAAGAACTTTTTTTTTGCATTTTTATTTAAAACTTGCATAATAATTTAAGTTAACAAATAAATAAACATTGAACGATTATAATAACGTTAAAGATAGAATTAATGTTACTAATTTTTTTGAAATAATTTATTTTATCAAAAGATAAGGACTTTATACTTTTTTTATCTTATTTTATCCTTTTAAAAACATAATACAAGAATTTAAGCTAATAATCGATTAGCATTAAATCCTGTCATTGAAATAACATTAAAGATAGAATTGTTATTCAATTAATGTTATTAATGAATATTTTTATTTTTATAAAATAATAATTTTTATTTTATCCTCTACATAAAAGCTTATGATAGCAAATGACTATTCTATAAACTTTTATAATTTACATAATACTAAAGGTAGAAGTACTACTCAATTAATATCATTAACCAATAAAAGTAACTTATATGTGCAAGAGGATTGTTTTATCTAAAAAAATATTTTGTATAAGGATTCAAGTTAGCAAATGATTAATCAATAAATCCTTATGAAAAATTATTTTTCCCTTAATGTTGTGAATAATTGTTTTTTTATCTTTTTAAAATGATAACCGTTATTTTATAAGCTTCTATGATTTACGTGATATTAAAGGTAAAAGTGTTACTCAATTAACAACACAAATCATTGCATATGCAAAGATAACTTATATATGAAATAAGCCTCTTTATTTATTTTTTTTAAAAGGGAATTTTGTATAAGAATTTAAGTTAGTAAATGGCTAAACATTAAACTCTCAAAATAGCGTAGTTAAAATAGAATTGTTATTCAAATAACGCTATTAATTATAGTAAAAAAAATTGAATTATTACTTGAGTAAGAGATGATGACTTTCCTATTTTTGAAATAATCTTTACACAAGAATTCAAGCTAACAAGTGACTAGTCATTAAACTCCCGTAATCAAATAATGTTAAAGATAAAAATGTTATTCAATTAATGTTATTATTATTTATTGTATATTGAATACTTTCTAAACAATAATCTTTAATACAACAAATCATATTCACCCTGTACAAACAATTATTTTCAACAAATCAAAAAACAAAAAAAAGTTAAGAAAAGAATATGATACCAAATGTGAGGCGAATAAATTTTTAAACTTGTTATTGTGTTGAATCTTCAAATATGAGGATCTATTAGGTACTTTTTGGCTACCTTTCACACTACACAGATGTCTCATAGATCTCAAGAAATACAAAGAGAGAGAAAAAGAGAGGATTTTCGAGCTATAAGGAGTCTTAGACGAATTTTTTTCTAGCCCTTGGAGTAGTGCCTAAGTATACTATTTATAGACGTCAAACTTGACCAGAACGACCTGTTCCAGATCGGAACAGCCTGTTCTGGATCTGTTCATTATGTGTTAAATTTTCATCTAGAACGGCTCGTTCTCATAACTACCATGTTGTTTCAAACTAGGGTTTTTAAGGCCATTTTTAGTATTTTGAAACGACCCATTCCAAATTGAAAAGACTCATTTCAGTTTGGGAACAGACCGTTCTAGTTTGGGAATAACCTGTTCTAGAATACCAAATTAGTCCTTATTGGGTTTTTAAGTCTCCCGATGTTGTATCCTGTGCTTGGGAACTCCTTTTCTTCATAACTCAGTTTATAAGTTTGAATAAAATTAAGTGTCTACAACTAGATAAAATTAGTTATTCACAATCGGCCTACCAACCATTATTGCTATAGCTAACAAAACACTTCCGTCATAATATCTCATTCCCAAAGAAGGAAAACACACCCACACCAATGTTTTATCTATATGGACCTTTGAAGCAACAAAATCCAAAATCCATTCCCTTACAACTAGATAGTGATAAAAATATAAGCCAAGGACCCTCAAAGGCTCAAACATGACTCTCTCTCTTTGTTCACCGCTAAATCAAATTTAACTATGAAAAAATCATTGCCAATATCTAAAAAGATGAAAATCACCAACTAGTTTCCATATAGCCTTCAACTTGCTATGCATTATAAAAATATCCAAAAGACTTTCCAAGCAATGTGACAAGAACAACGTCCTCCCAAGGGACATGTAAAGAGTGCACTACTTTAAAAAGTAATTATATTATAAAACTCAACAATTGTTAGTTATATAAAAATTCATAATTAAATAATTATATAAAAAACTATTAAAATACTAATATATTCCAATTAAATTCTTATTTTATCAATTTAATTTTTGATATTGTTAACATAAATATTTTCACAGTTTCAAACAATAAGAAATCATTATATATATATATATAGAAAAGTCAACGAGTTTTAATTCTATAACAATTTATGATTAAATAACAACATTAAAAAAAAAACTGTCATATATATGTATTCCAATTAAATTCTTAATTTATTTGATACATAGTGGATGTACATATTTTAATACTCTATTCACCAACTAAAATTACTCTAATTAAATATAACTTTTTTTTTATAGTAATTATGACAAAAATTAACAAATCAATTCATAACATATAAATTTTATTGCAAAATAATACGCTTACACATTATTATCATATTCTTCGCCACATCATATATTTTGATGGTGTGTCGTTTTTTTCTTATCATTCTCGTCTCTTTTCATTAACCTTTACCATTTGTAACTTCCATTTTATACAATTAGTGTGATTACAACACATGCTTACTCTAATGAGAAAAAAAAATCATAACAATAATAACAACACAATAAAAATAACTCAATAAATTAGCAATAAGCAACAACAATAAAATTATCAACATGCAAGAATAAGAGAGAAATGCCAAGAGAAGTAGAGCAAATATAAAGATAAATTCAAACATATAAGAAATATAAAAGATTTTTGAATTACATATTATTATTATGCTTACACATTATGAAGCGAATCTCACATGATGTCAAATCACTTCAATCCTATTCTTATGTGTATGAGATGTATTTTATGTGACTTAACTATTCCAATCAAACCTTGAAAGTATGTCCTTCTAGTAAGAGTGCGCAAAGGATGCGACTTGACATGTAATCTTAAGCTACTCTAAGTGTATTGTTAGTGACAATGCACAAGTGTGATATGTAATTTTTCTACCGCACTAGTGGAAAAAAGATTTTTAAGATCGGTTATTTTTTACTTTTAAGATCGGTTAAAAGCTAAACTTTTAAGATTGGTTATTTAACCGATATTAAAAGTCCAGCTTTTAAGATCGGTACGAAATAACCAATCTTAAAAGTATCAGGTATAATTTTAATAACTTTATTAATGTAACCCTCATATTTGGCCTCTCAAGGATGCTATTTCACGACACTTGACTTTTCAACGTGTTTTTTCCTTACTGCACATTTTCTAAGAAACTTCCCAGAAGGTCACCCATCCCTATATTACTCCAAGTCAAGCACGCTTAACTGTGGAGTTTTGATGAGATAAGCTACCAAAAAGAAAATGCATGATGTCAATATAAGTAGCACAAATTAATTCATTTAAGTCATCATCAACTATACAATCTCATACTAATACTATTTTTTGATCCCTCTTATTTTGGTGTGTCCAGACTGCTATAAAAATATAATAATTATATAATAATTATATTACCAATAATAATAATTATAATAATTAACAATCTACTTATTTCTATTTAAAATTAATATTATGATACAATTTAAATTATTTATTATAAATTTAAAAGTTTAAATAATAATTTATATATTTTAAAATGATAAAGGTTATAATAACACTGGTGTAAAATAAATTTTAACATTTTAAATAAATTATTAATTAACTTAATATATTTATTTATCTTAAAATATGACTAAGGGAGGCGCATGTAAGAAAGAATGACTAAGAGACCGTTGCATTTTTTAAATAGTTACAGTATTTTTAAGATCGGTTAAATTTTAACCGATCTTAAAAGTACTTTTAAGATCGGTTAAACTTTAACCGATTTTAAAAGTATTCACATTATTTATAAAATTGCCATCATGTCACTTTTAAGATCGGTCACCTTTTAACCGATCTTAAAACCCCGATTTTAAAACTAATTTTTGCACTAGTACCGACACCAAAAACATGATAATATTTAGTTCCTATCCATTGCATAATACATTATAATGTATATATTATTGCTTATTATGCTATGACTAAATAAGTATGATGATGATATTTATCTATGTATGCTATGCCTTGTTGT